ACACCAAAGCCTATATCTTAACTACCATCAGGTGTGAACTCTCACTGCCAGTCCTGATTTGCTACTGGTTCTGGGTTGGGAACAGGGATCCATCAAAGCCGAGCAAAGCAGCTAGCTAGAAAATGACATCTGAAGAGAGCCTTCCAAACCTGAAGGTCTTTGATCCTGCTCTTTACTCTCCAGGGGCTTACAATAAGATCAACATAAGTGGACCCTGACTGACCACATGCAAGAGAGACAAGGAGAGATGATAAGGACCCCTCCTTGACCCAACTGAGTCAAGCTCCTCTGAGCCCCCATCTCAAGTAGGTCTTGGCCTGCTAAGTTCAGTTTACCAAGAATCCCATGAGAATTGCCCACCTTTGATATCTAATCAAGGTCCCTTGTAATTTTCCATCCACTGACCCTCTCAGCCTGCCCATAAATCCCAACTATCCTTGCTGTATTCGGAGTTGAACTCAGATCTACACTGAAGTATCTGTCCCTAATATAATGGCTGGAATAAAACCTGTCTTGCTGTTTTTAACAAGGGTCTAGTGCAATTTCTCTAACACAGGACACACAGCTAAGTCAGGGGAGACCCTTCCCTCTCTGGGCCTTAATTGTCTGTGCAATGGGATGGTAGAACTGAATTATTAAGGGCAGATTCAGTTCTCAAACCTTTTAACTTCCTGTTTTACGACTGAGATTAAAACAAAATCCAGGGGCGCCTGGGTGGCTCAGTCAGTTAAGCCTTTGCCTTCGGCTCAAGTCATGATCCCAGGGTCCTGGGATCGAGTCCCGCATCCAGTTCCCTGCTCAGCGGGGAATCTGCTTCTCTCTCTACCCCCCCGCCCATGCGCATTCTCTTTCTCACAAAAATAAATTTTAAAAAATTTAAAAAAAAAAAAGGAAAAACAAAATCCAACTAGCTCTTATCGCAAATGAAAACTATTTTATTAAGGTTAATCAATATTTTTCCTACAGGGAAAATTTCTGATTCAGTGGCAAACTGGATTCTAGATTATAGCATGTCCTTTAAGGTACCTAATTTTGACTCTATGCAATTTTTTTCTTTACATCTCTGTAAACTGGGTAACAGCAATGCAAACAATTCTTATCTAAAGACATACAAATGAATTCTGTAAAGCGGAGGCTGGGTTGATTTCCGGTTGTAGAAAGAAGCCAGTTTTGCCTGCCATTTGCCCATTCATTTCATTATTTCTGACCCTGGAGTCTCCTTTGATCTGGCTGCAACCATCACACTACATTTCCTCATTATAAGTTAAATGTAATCTTTAGTACTTGCTCACTTTTATACCTGTATCGAGTGATGGCTTTACCTTTTTTAAAAATTATCTTTTGGGCGCCTGGGTGGCTCAGTCAGTTAAGCACTGACTCTTAGTTTCAACTCAAGTCATGATCTCATGGGTCATGGGATTAAGCCCTGGGGTTGGGCTCCACACTCAGCGGGGAGTCTACTTGAAGAGTCTCTCCTCTGCCCCTCCCCCTCACTCTTTCTTAAATAAATAAATCTTTTTACAATTATCTTTTAACATTACAAAAAGTATAAGTAACTAAATCATTTTTCCAAATAGACACAATCGATAAACACTTTTAAAATCTCCTAATGGTTAGAAGAATTTTGGAATCTAGCAAAGTAAAATTTGCCCAGTGGTAAACAGCTTTTCCACATTTTTATTTTCAGTTATCTGACACTTGAATCCCTTTTACCACAATTACTATTTTTGAAACCTGGTTTCAATGTAGTTTGTAATATTTTCCCACAATGACTGAATGACTTTTCTAGCTAGATGTGAATTCTTAAGCTAAATTTTGTTATAAGTTATTCAAGAAATTGAAAGGTAAACATCAAATTATAGAAATGTACTAAGTACAATGTAAAACACCTGTTACCTATCATCGAGCCCATGAACTGTTAATATTTTGCAAATCTGAGAACTCTCTCCCCATAAAACAAATACAATATTAGATGAAATTCCTTCCCATGCCCCGTCCCATTCTCCCCACCACCAGAAAATAACCATGATCATAAGTTAACATTTCTTGGGCGCCTGGGTGGCTCAGCCGGTTAAGCGACTGCCTTCGGCTCAGGTCATGATCCTGGAGTCCCGGGATCGAGTCCCACATCGGGCTCCCTGCTCGGCAGGGAGTCTGCTTCTCCCTCTGACCCTCCTCCTTCTCATGCTCTCTGTCTCTCATTCTCTCTTGCAAATAAATAAATAAAATCTTTAAAAAAAAAAAAAAAAAAAATAAGTTAACATTTCTTTTTCTTTCTTTCTTTTCTTTTTTTTTTTTTTTTTGGTGCAAAAAGGTGATTTTATTAAAGCATGGGGACAGGACCCATGGGCAGAAAGAGCTGCATAAGTTAGCATTTCTCTTCATTCACTTTATTATACTTTTAAAACATATATGTCCACTTTATAAACATTTCCTTCTAAGGGACATTTAGGCAGTTTCAAAAATTTATCATTATAAATAACGTTGCAGTAAACATCCTAATACTCCTCTCCTCACAAACAAATGTCTCTGTTTCTCTAGGCTACTTTCTAGAAGTGGAACCACTTGATCCTAAGATATACACACTCATTGTTTTAAAAGATTTTATTTGACAGACAGAGAGCACAGGCAGGGGGAGCGGCAGGCAGAGGGAAAGGGAGAAGCAGGCTCCCCGCTGAGCAGGGAGCCTGATGTGGGGCTCGATCCCAGGACCCTGGGATCATGACCTGAGCCAAAGGCAGAAGCTTAACTGACTGAGCCACCCAGGCGCCCCTATACATACCCATTTTGCTAGTAGCTATATAGTTCTATGATACACTTCTACCAGTAGTGAATCTTTTCCTCAAATACCTATCATCTCTTAATAGTATGGAACTTACAATTCATAACCTGATGGATATAAAGTGACCTAATTATGGGTTCAATTTGCATTTCCTGGATTACAAGAGAATTTGAGTCTTCTCATATGCTTAACCATTCAGATTTCAACACCTCAATACATGTGACAATTACCCCCATCATAATCTGGGATTTGAATTATGGTCTACAAAGCAACTTCTGCAGTTAAAAAAAAAAAAAAGTGCTGGGCAGTTCCTCAAAAGATAGTCATAGGTCAGAAAAACAGTATTCACTTCAATATACTTTTACTGAACAATACTAGGTATGGTGTATATTATCTCCCTAACAGTTCAAAATTTTTTCTCCTCTCTTCTCCTTTCCCACCGCAACGTCTTTAAAATCCTTTAAAAGGCTCAGCAATTCTCCTGGGAATTACTGCAGGTGCTCCCTACTGGGACCTCTCTCCAATACTTTTCCACACTACACAACTACCTAAGATACACATCTACTAAATTCAGCTTTCCGGGGGCATCTGGGTGGCTCAGTCGGTTAAGCGTCTGCCTTCCGCTCAGGTCCTAATCTCAGGGTCCTGGGACTGAGCCCCGAGTCGGGCTCCCTGCTCAGTGGGGAGACTGCTTCTCCCTCTGCAGCCTCCACCCCTGCTCATGCTCTCTCTCTCTCTCAAGTAAATAAATAAAAATATTTTTAAAAAAATAAATGCAGCTTCCCAAGCTTTCAGGACAAAATCTAAATTTCCTACAGCAGCACAGAAGGCCCTGCAAGATGCACCACTCTATTCTTATGAAAGAGAGCTCATGAAATTCACCACCCACATGAAATCCCTTGTTCCAACCAGGCTCCAAGACCGTGGTCCAAAATCAGTGGCTCTTTCCATGCCTTCACCATGCTGTTTTCCAGGTGAAACATTCTTCTCCATCACACTAGCTCCTCCCATCCCTCAAACTCCATTCAGGCGCTTCTCTGCAAAGTTCTACCTCTTCCCACAAATAAGGATTAGATGCTTCCAACAGGGTTAGATGCTGCCCCTGCGCAAACCTGTAACTGGAATGATTCTCTATAGACTGTCTCTCCCCTTTAAAAAAACCCCAGCTCAGTAAGTAAGGCTCAATGAACATTTGTTAACGAATGGAACCCTACAGTAAAAAAGCTGAGCTCCTCCACTCTCTACGTACCACAGGGCAAGTCTCAAACTCCGGGCATTTATTTTCATCTATAAAATGAAGCCCATGATACAAAGTTCCTTCTTCCAGGCCCCAGATTCTACAATTCTTGGCATGGAATAACCCATGTACATCTAACCTCCCCTCTAATAGTTAAGGGGCAGGGGGCCTAATCAAACTTTCACTTTCACGCTTTAAGTGAATCACCCTGTGAGTCCCACCAGCTCAAGCCTCTGAGAACTAGAGCATCCCTAACTTCTCAGAAGGGATCTTTTTACACGTTTGGGTACTTCTGCTGTTGTAGTTACCTGCTTTTCCCCTTGGCTACGGAGGACTGAGTGGAAATGGGTGCAATCCTACACATTACAAGCACCTAGAGCCTGAACTGCTCCTAGGTTGTGAAGGTCGGAACCAAGCGCCAGACCCTGCCCGGCACGCCCTGGCGGTGGGACCTTAGCCAATACCCTCTCCCCGCGCCCGTCTCCCCTGCGCGCGGAGGAAGCGCCTGGGCTTCCAGCCCGAGCTCGCGCCAACAGAAGAGAGCCCCCAGCAGCCCACGACCACCCCTCGGGAGGGCGGGCTGAGAGGTCGCAGCATTTCCCTTGGGATTCACCGTTTCCCGGAATGCTCTTTCGCAGGGTGAGAAGCGGCTTACTCAGGGCCGCGGGAGCTGAAAACCCCGCCGGTGAGGCCCAGAGCCGCGGCACACAGGCAGCCCTGGCCCGGACCCCCGGCTGGGGCTCGCGGTTACCTGTGGCGGAAGACCGCGGCGGCGGCGCGAGGCGGCAGGACCGTGGGAACTCGTCGCGACGCGCAGCCTCAAACGCGCCTCCTCGTGATGTCCGCCCTGCAGTGATTGCGGAGCCTCCCCTGGCTCCAGGCCTTAATGGCCTAGGGCGCTGCGTTGATTGGTGGAACTTCGGGGCGGGCATCTGCAAAAGCCAATGGGAGAACGAGCAAGGCGGGGCCGGCGAGCCAGAGGGCCTACAAGTCCCAGCATGCAAGAGCCAGAGCTTCTGGGCCCACAGCCCTGCGGACCCTGGGAGCCGCTTGAGCAATGAAATGCGGGTGAGGGGGCCCGGGGTACGTGGGGCTTGCCTGGAAACGCAGCAATTCCAGAAGTGTCCACCGAAGGATCAAAATCAGCGCGCGGGGCACTTTAACCCACTGGTTTCCGAACTTGTAGCACTTTGGAATCATCTAGGGAAACTTCAAAAATCCCGATGTCCCTGTGTCGGTGAGTTCCTTGGTCTGCACGTGTTCTGGGTCTTGGAATCTTTAAGGATCCCCCGGTGATCGAATGTGCAGGTCCATTTAATCCTCGAGACAACCTTATGAGAAATACGCACTCTTATTGTGGTCCCTGCTTTACAGTTAGGACGACTGAGGGAGAGTCAGCCGTGGAAAGTAAATTAATCTTCGGAAGACCGCATTAGCTCTGAAGTGGCGGGGCCAGAACCCACACCCAGGCAGTCTATCTAGTTCAGAATCCTGTCCTCTTCATCCCTATGCAATGCTATTTTTCAAATGTTTGGTATTATTATCTCACAGGGAAATGGGGAAACTATACGTATCTGTGCCGTGGGGTAGAGCACAGTAAATTGAACTGAGTGCAATTGATGTGAGAGAATTAAGTGCCGTCCTGCCCAAGCACATCAAGTGTAAGATGTAAGGGCTGCATTCACAGGTTGTCTCACTTGATCTTCTTTTATAATCTTTCTTTTTTTTTTTTTTTTTTTTACAGTAGGTCAAGCGAGAGCATACTGCCCTGAGCCTGCTCCCTATTTTTGTAAATAACGTCTGTGAGAACACAGCCATGCCCACGGGTTTTGGTATTATCTCTCGCTGTTTTTACCAACAAGGCAGAGTTGAGTAGTTATACAAGAGACAAGATTTTGGCCCACAAAATCGAAAATATTTACTGTCTGACCATTTACACAAAGAAGTTGCCAACCCTGAGTTAAGTTCTTCTCCACACTCTTAGCTGGGAGGTGACCATAGTCTTATTCAGACCCACCTCTGTCCAAGTCCATAGCGAAGTCTCATGACCAGTATACTTTCACAGTCTTCCTCAGTGGGGAGTGGTAGGAGTTCATTCAACCATTTATTCAAGAACACATTTAGTGGATGTCCCTTATGTGCCAAGTGCAGCTGATTATTGAGAGAAATTGGATTCCTTTTTTTTTTTTAAGAGAGAGAAGAGAGAGCCAGCGGGGGGAGGCAGTGTTGGAGGGGCAGAGGGCAAGGGAGAGAGAGAATCTCAAGCAGGCTCCACGCTCAGTGCAGAGCCCCAAATGGGGCTTAGTCTCCCAACCCTGAGATCATGACCTGAGCTGAAATCAAGAGTCGGACACTTAACCGACAGAGCCACCCAGGTGTCCCGAGAGAAGTGGGATTCTGTTCTTTCCCTTGGGAATTCACTGTCTAATAAGAGAGGAACAGGGTGTCCTTAACCACTTCCTCAATTCACCCAGAATAAATGGTGGCCTTTGGTTGGGTTTTCACAGGTGAAATGGAACAGAAGTGGTGGCCTGATGCCAGGCATGTTTAGGCAAATGAGGTCCAGGGATAGCCCCCTCAGACTCCCTCAGCAGCACGGTGAGCTGAGAGCTGAGAGTATGGGACAAGAGAAGGCGGCTGAAAAATAAGGACCGGTGGGTGGCTGGGAGTTGGCAGGGAGTTCCCGTGGTAATGGTCAGGAGAGCCTCAGAAGAGACTCAGGAGAGCCTCAGAAGAGACTCCTATGAAGTCCCAGACCCCTGCTCCTTCTCCTTAGTTCAGAAGAGACTGCACTTGTAGGCCAGCCACAAGGAGGAGGCTGAGATGAGAGGGGCTTGGAGGGAGAAGTGGGTGCACATGGTGGGCTCTGCCATCAAGCTACCTGGATTCCGATCCCAGCTCCAGCACGTACAAGCTGTGGGACCTGAGCAAGTTACTTAATTTCTCAGTGCCTGTGTTTCCTCAACTGTAAAATAGAACAGCACCTACTTCTCTCGGTAAATTGAATGAAACACACTGCTTAGCATCTAGTAAGTGCCCCATGAATAGCAGCTACCTGCAGGGCTAAGAGCATGATGAGAAAAGGAAGATAGGAATCTCTGACCTTGGGCACTGCTGTGCTCTGAGACTACACACAGAATGGAATGGCGGCATGGTGTGGGAAGGGCAGCACCAGTGGGGGGGCCAGGAGCCAAGGCACCAGAAAAAACCCCAGGGCGGCAGGAGGGTGGCAGGCTCCCTGTAAACATATAGGCATGAGGACAGCCCCCCCCCCTCAAATGTCCCCAGTGAAATTCTCACCAGGAAAGTCACAGTGTGGGGCTCAGAGGTTAGTGAGGCTCAAGCCAGATACAAATCTGTGATACCACAAGACTGTGGCAGATAACCCAACCACCAGAGATAAGAGCCCTGAGGAGCCATTTCAGATTCCGTCTTTTTCTATCTAATGGCGAGAGACTAAGTGAGAGGTTCAGATCATAAAGCAATAAGCGCTGGAGAGAGTAGGAAAAGAAATTGATTAAGTTTAGAGCAGGTTTCTGCACCTCAGGATGACTGACATTTGGAGGCTGGGTAGTTTTTTGTTGCGTGAAGGAAGTTGGGGGGCTGTCCTGCACCTCATAGGACATCTAGTGGCATCAGCGTCCCTGGGGGGCTACCCACCTGATGCCAGGAGCTCCCTTCCCTCAAGTTGTGACAATCAAAAATGTCCCCAGACATTGCCAAAAGCCTTCTGGGGGAAGGAGGGGCAAAATCTGCATGCACACCCCGCCCCCCCTTCCATGGTGAGAACCACTGGTTCTCAGGACTCAACATTCATTCATTCATTCATTCATTCATTCATTCATTCTGTTTGATAATGATGGTCAAAGGCATGGACTCTCTCCAGACGTCCTGGATTTTGACTCCATCTCTGACACTTCCTGGCTGTGGGGTCCTGGACACTGTCTTCACTCATCTGTGTTTCATAGGGTTGTTGTAAAGTTCAAACGAATTGATATATAATGAACGAACTCAGAACAGATTCTGGTCAGGTGTCAGCTATTTCTCGAGTGCATGGGAAGTGCTAGGCACTAACCCGAGCCCTGAGGATCCCTGCAGTCAACTGTTCCCACCACAGACACACTAACCTTTTGTATGAAAATATTTCAACTGCAATATGTAATATTCTTGATCTAAATAAAGGGGTAAACTGAGGCAAGCTCAAAAAGGAGGAGTTTATTTGGGAAGAGCAGAGGAATTGCAATTTGAGATAAGCAGACTGTTGCAAGCTACAGGCGAGCGCATTGAGGGTTTGGGGTAGGTTGTATTTGTGGGCAGGGAATGTAAAGAGAGGAACGTTCAGCCAGAAGTCAATTAGACTCAAACACACATGGAGACCAGCTTTGAAAATGAAGGGGTCCAGGACAGGCCCCCAGATTGTGCCACTTTGGCACGTGGATTGTCTTGAGCTGAAAGCACTGTGGGCCCAAGAGAAACTTTTATCCCTCCCTTAACAATGCAGAAGAATCTAAATTAAGGGCCTTTCCCCAAATAAGAGTTATTAACAGAGATAAATTTCATCTGAGTGACCCAACTGCATGGTAGGGCAAACATCTAATAACCAAACATCAGCTCCTCTTCTCACCCTGTGAAGTGCATTCCTTTCCTATGAAGTCCCAGACCCCTGCCCCTTCTCCTTAGTTCAGGATGACATATATACCTCATTTTACCTGTCTTTGCAGTGCCCATGTCTGTGTGGATTCCCCATACGTACATCATTAAATTTGATTTTCTCCTGTTAACCGGTCTCATGTCAATTTGATTCTTAGTCCAGCTAGAAAGATCTTTGAGGGGACCAGAATTCTTGCTCCCTGACATAGTAAAATACATATAACATAAAATTTGCCACTTAAACCATGTTTACATGTACAGTTTAGTAGCATTAATCATGTTCACATTATTGTGCAACGAATCTACTTCTAAAACTTTTCATCATCTTAAAAATCATTCCGTCCTTCCTCGAATAAACTCCTACCTGGCTAACATCAGCTGACTCCTGCTTATTCCCATGACCTCACTTCCTGTCACAAGACTCACTCGCTCCAGCCCTCGTGGCCTTCTTGTCTGCCTATGCAAGTCCCTCTTCCTGGCACATCCTTCCTCTTCCAGTCACGCAGCTCCTGAGAGATGACATCCTGGCACGATATGGCACGATAAAGATTGCTGTGGTCCTAAACTCGGGAGGGGAGGGGCACCATCTCTTCCTGGTTGTTTTTGAAGGATTTCCAAGCAATCAATAAGCATTTATTTATTAACAGGTAGGCAGTATTCTTAGAATGGCCCCCCAAGAACCCTCACGCATGTATAATCTCCTCCTCCTGCAGGATGGGTGAAACGTCTGAATAGGATATATTAAAGTGGTAACAGCAGGCCCAAAATAGAGTATCAGATCTAGCGAGAGGCATGTGAGCCTTCTCCAGAGGTCTGGTGAGGACTCAGTAAATGCCAGGCAATGATAGAGGAGGAAGAGGTTCTAAGGTAATCAGAAACAGGTCTAAAGTCAAGGACTAGGGCGCCTGGGTGGCTCAGTTGGTTAAGCGGCTGCCTTCGCCTCGGGGTCGTGATCCCAGAGTCCTAGGAGGGAGCCTGCTTCTCCCTTTCCCTCTGCCCACCCCCCTTGTGCTCTCTCTCTCTCATTCTCCCTCTCTCTCAAATAAATAAAATCTTTAAAAAATAATAAAGTCAAGGACCTCAGAATCCCAATTTTTAAATGTCTTTTTCCCCTTTAGCATTAAAGCTTTCATGTTTTCTTAACCCTCACTCAAGACCTGTTAGCAGACTATTATTTTATCACTTAGTTCTCAATAAAGGATTAATTAATAACATCTATGCAGTAGGGCTATTACTATTCCCATTTTACAGATGAAAAAAATGAAGGCTCAGAGAAATTAAATAGGCGGCCCAAAGTTCGGAAGGGAAATAAACCCAGAGAGCAGGGCTCAAGAATCAAGCTGAGCTGGGACTTTTCTCCCCCAGGTTTGCTGTCAAGGTTGTGTTTCATTACCTGGTGGGGTATGCTTTTCAGAAGGACCAAGGCAGAAATTCTGACTGGCCTTAATACAGTTGGTTCCTAAGTAGAAGACACTGTGAATTGTATAAATGAGCAGGGGTGTGTGTGTGTGTGTGTGTGTGTATAATTACAAGGCTTATGGCAAAATCTGTGGCCCACCCAAAGGAAACCCACACTTTTTCAGATTC